TTTTAAGTTACATTTAAATTATTTTTGTTTTTTTCTTTTTTTTCTTACATAGTGTCGCTATGGGCTACATCATTTTTGGTGGCTCAGCCCATAGCGACACTGATGTGACTCAGTCCAGCCCATTTTGGGCAAAAAAAAAAAAATGCCACGTGTCACCGGTGTCGCTATAGACCATAGCGACACCGTTATAAACAGCCTCAAATGCGTAAATACTTTTAAAAGAGCCCCATTTACGTAAATAAGTTAGTCAACGACCCCACTTTGGTCAAAAAGCCTAATTTACTCGTTCCATCTATCTGTTGCCAATTTGTCAAAAAGATAACTAACGGGTACATAATGCACGAGCAACATGGACTGAGTATAAGTATTTGAGTAATCTGAGGACGATCAATAAGGTTGGATTTGACGTGAGTAACACGATTGTCACATTTGACATGACTGTCAAAATTTCACTTTTATTGCTTGATGAATTAAGGTGTTAGGAACAGTGTTATTAGTGTTTTTATTTTTTATTTTATTGTGATACATGTATAAAAGTATAAAGTTTTTAGTTAAAATTGGAAAAAAAAATTACATCATTACATCATTTTAAGGAATTAAGAAATCAAATTAAACATTTCATGGTAATAAAAGACGAAATTGAATTAATTAAATAAAAACAAATTAAATCAACCAAATAAAAAATTAAGAGAATAATTTAATTTTAATTTATTTTAATAGATTTAGTGGTGATGTTCTGTCAATGAAATACTTTTATGTCAACATTCAATCACAATTTATATAAAAGATAAGTTTTATTTATTTTTTTATAATAATTATCTTAAAAATATAAACTATTGTTTTTAGTGAATCTAACTTCTCAATAAACTGTATTTTAAAGAATAAATATGATAATAATTATTAAATAATATTAATTTTTATTTTTTAATTAACCATTGATATTATAATTAATTACATATTTTATTTTATAAAAATAATTTTTATTATAAATTTTAATCATTAATCTATAATTAATAATTATAAATACACTTCTTTTTAGAAGAGTAAAATTATTTCTTATTAGTTGAAAATATGTACGTCACTATTAAATGTTATTTGAATATAATTATTTAAATTTAAAGTACGATATTATATAATCATCATTGTTTTATCTTTGCAGATTGGAAAATGATAAATTGTCTGAAAATATATTTCGAAATTATCATAAATAATTAAAATATTAATTTAAATTATAAATTATTAAATTAAATAATTATTGTATAATAAATTTATTAAAAGATATTACTTTTAAAAGAGCCCCATTTACGTAAATAAGTTAGTCAACGACCCCACTTTGGTCAAAAAGCCTAATTTACTCGTTCCATCTATCTGTTGCCAATTTGTCAAAAAGATAACTAACGGGTACATAATGCACGAGCAACATGGACTGAGTATAAGTATTTGAGTAATCTGAGGACGATCAATAAGGTTGGATTTGACGTGAGTAACACGATTGTCACATTTGACATGACTGTCAAAATTTCACTTTTATTGCTTGATGAATTAAGGTGTTAGGAACAGTGTTATTAGTGTTTTTATTTTTTATTTTATTGTGATACATGTATAAAAGTATAAAGTTTTTAGTTAAAATTGGAAAAAAAAATTACATCATTACATCATTTTAAGGAATTAAGAAATCAAATTAAACATTTCATGGTAATAAAAGACGAAATTGAATTAATTAAATAAAAACAAATTAAATCAACCAAATAAAAAATTAAGAGAATAATTTAATTTTAATTTATTTTAATAGATTTAGTGGTGATGTTCTGTCAATGAAATACTTTTATGTCAACATTCAATCACAATTTATATAAAAGATAAGTTTTATTTATTTTTTTATAATAATTATCTTAAAAATATAAACTATTGTTTTTAGTGAATCTAACTTCTCAATAAACTGTATTTTAAAGAATAAATATGATAATAATTATTAAATAATATTAATTTTTATTTTTTAATTAACCATTGATATTATAATTAATTACATATTTTATTTTATAAAAATAATTTTTATTATAAATTTTAATCATTAATCTATAATTAATAATTATAAATACACTTCTTTTTAGAAGAGTAAAATTACTTCTTATTAGTTGAAAATATGTACGTCACTATTAAATGTTATTTGAATATAATTATTTAAATTTAAAGTACGATATTATATAATCATCATTGTTTTATCTTTGCAGATTGGAAAATGATAAATTGTCTGAAAATATATTTCGAAATTATCATAAATAATTAAAATATTAATTTAAATTATAAATTATTAAATTAAATAATTATTGTATAATAAATTTATTAAAAGATATTATTATTTTAATGTTTAAGAGGAGAGACGCGTATTTGAAAGGTGTAGCATGATGATTGATGAGATGTACATTGGGCTCCTTTTGGAATAGAGGGTCTGTACCTAATCATGCTCCCCGCCAATTTTTAACTTTGCTGCTCAAATGTCTCCCACAAACTCTTTTTAGATATATCTTTTTTAACCTATATATATTTTATCAATATAATATTTTTTTCCTAACTATTTCTATACTACTTTAATCTATTACTCAAATGACTCCAGAACTTCGTTTAATATATGCTTTAAAATTTGTTTTTAGCTTAAATAAAATATAACTTTATTTGATGTTTCCAGATCATAACTTTTAATTTTTTTTGGAAAACTTAAAAAAAAAAAAAAAACAAGTTTAAGGTGTTTTTCGGACGTCAGTTGACGTTTTCAAGGTGATTATCATGGAAAATAAAGTGAGAAATAGGAGAAATAAAAATAGGAAAAAAGAGAATTGGAATAAATGAAAATAAGTAAGAAAAAAGTAAAATAGAAATATTTAATTTAAGAAGAAAAATAAAGTTACTATTCATTTCTCGTACATGTTAACACATGGACCAACACCCTATATTTTAATTATTTTTTCTTGTTCTTTTTTATCCTATCTTTTTATTCCTCCACTGTCCACTGCACTCCATCTGAAAATGGATGCACATTTCCATTTTTTCATTACTTTAATTACTTCTTTTGCAGAAAACGCTCCATAATGAGTAATCAACACTTGCTTTTGTGTGCACTGCTTCTTTTTTTAATTCCGCTTCTTCTTTTCGCGATAACGTCGATCATCAAACGCTCCATAATTTAATGCTATATTTTATTAAAAATATGCAACGATGAGAAAAAAATGATTCTGGGTATTTCTTAAACAAACACATGTCACTTTCTATTATTATGAAACTAAATTGATGTCAATTTTTGGATGAAAAAAAAACTTAATGCCATCTTCTTAATTAAGAAAACACTTAAACGTATTTTTTTTTTAAATAGACCGAATTGGCGCACACACACTCACACTAAAAAAAGAAATTTAATATTTAAGCTTCATTAGTATGAAAATTTAAAATTCAATGATTCTTTCCTTTTTATAAAAGAAAGTTGACATGCTGCTTCTACAGCAATGTATAAATTAAAAATAAAAATGAAAATTAATTTGAGATAAAGTATTTATCATAGTGTTTTTTTTATATTTTTTTTTTAAAGTTATACACTTTAATTAAGTTTAATGTTGTATGCATAATATTTAGTTTGACAATTTTTATTTTAGATTAGAGGTTATTTAATTTTAGATTGGAGTTTATTTTAAATTGGATTTTATTATAAATTAGATTTTTTTAAAAAATATATTAGGTGGGTTGGTGGACCAGTCCGTTTAATTCACCAACTCGTGGTAGGCTGGACCGAATTAGAAATTTTTTAATATTAAGGTTGGTGGGTTAGACTAAGTCAACTCACTTAAAAAGTGAGTTAAGGTGTGTCGGGTCAAATGGATTAGATTGATTCATTTTGAAAATCCTAGAAGTCGCATATGCTTATAACACCACTGTACTCCATTTCTACGATTTGAGTGTATGTGAAAAGTGATTGAGATGAAGAGGAAAGAAAGTAATGTGAAAAATCAAGAAAATTAAGAATATTTATTGAAATAAGTGGAGAATGAGAAAAAAAATAAAGAAATACATATAAAAACCGAAAGGAAAAAAGATGAGGTGTGTAAAAAAGAAGAAAAAAGTGATAAATTAAAAGTTAGAGATGTAAAATTAAAATATTAAAGAATAAAAAAATTAAAAATATTGTAAGAATTTAAGAGAATTTTAAAAAAATATACTTATTAAAAAAAAAGATATATATACCATGAGGCTTATAATATTTCAACCTAACCATCTTAAATCAGAGTTGAGAAGGATGGGTCAGGGTTAAAAAATTACAAGGCCGAAAGGCCCATGTAGTTTGGATTATGCATCATGCATGATTATTTTACTGTAATTTTAAGTTTGGTAGCTCTAATTAGTTTTCTTGAGTCACATTCCCTCATTCGTTTTGGTTTTCTTTTCTCTTTTTAGCAAGATTTCTTATTCTCGTGTACTCTCAAATATAGAGTAGTTTTTGTACCCAAAAATATATAGTAGTTTATGATCACTCTTTTCATTCTCAACATTGTTGCATGAAGACCTTATTAATAGGAACCACACAGAAAATGGGTGAAACTTCATATCAAATATGCAGTAGATATAATTAAGAATTTAAGTATAAGGATTTGTTTGAATTATGTTACATATTTTAATAATTAATTTGACATAATTTTATATTTACGTAATTGACAAATGTTAAAAAAATTATTATATAAATTGAATAAGAGTAAAAATGTAAAATCATCAAATTAAATGACAGAATTCGTAGAGAGCAAGCATTATTTACCATATTTTTTTTTTATATTGGTTACATACATAATTTTGTCACTTGGATGATCATGTCTCTCATGTGCCTAAATTCTTAAAGTTATTTATTTAATATCCGCTGTGTTTCTGAAATAAATAAATGGATGAAAGAAATTAAAGTGGGAGGCATATATGTGTCGCCACCAGGGTTTCGCACTTCCCAGTCCTATAAATAATTGTGAATGCTCCTAATTTCAAGTATCACTCAGCCAAAGCAATGATGGGTAGAGCTAGTGGCAGTACCACTTGCACTCCCTTCTGCTCTTTCTTCTTTATTTCTTGCTTACTACTTTTTGCTGCTTCCTCTGATGCAAGGCCTTCAATTGTGGATGGACTCTCATGGAATTACTATTGGTTGACCTGTCCCAGGCTTGAAACCATAGTTCGAAGACATCTCCAGAAGGTCTTCATCCAGGACAAGGGTCAGGCTCCTGCCTTACTCAGGATCTTCTTCCATGACTGCTTCGTTCAGGTTCAAAATTCCTCAAACTCGATCTAACTAAAATTGTACACTCAAAGATGTTAAAAATACACTTATTTTTTGTATTTTATGATCTTTGTTGATAAAGGGTTGCGATGGGTCGATATTGTTGGATGGAAGTCCAAATGAAAGGGACCAACCCGCAAACATAGGGATAAGACCAGAGGCATTGCAGACCATTGAAGACCTTCGATCTGTTGTTCACAAGCGGTGTGGAAGGGTTGTCTCTTGCGCTGACCTCGTTGTTCTAGCGGCACGCGAAGCTGTTTCTCAGGTAATTCATTTCACTTCATTTATGCTCTTATTTATTTATCTATTTTGCATGAATACATTTTAAAAATATATATTCGAAAAATAATTATATAAGAAAAGCATCTTTCAAATGATCATTTTTATGACACATACTTTCACGATAAAAAAAATTAAGTACAATTATTCTCTACCGGTGCCGACCATAACACTTTATTCTTTTACTTTTGTGGTAGAAAGAGCCTCGGCACTTAACTATATTATTTATATTTTTAAGAGACCATACCCTGAATATTTAATAAGAACACATGTCTTTTTATTAAAAAAAACATTAACTTGATTCTTTCATAAGAACACACTTTATATGTATTATTATAAATTAAAAAATTCAACCTAATTTGCATTAGTAATCGATTGGATGAAATTTGAGTTTGGTTTGGTTCCATTTTGTATAGGCAGGGGGGCCAAAATTCGACGTGCCACTGGGAAGAAAGGACGGCCTAACCTTTAGCATAAACGGCACAAACAACCTTCCGCCGCCGTTTTTCCGCACCGGCGAGCTCCTCGACACATTCGGACGCAGAAACTTCGACGCCAGCGACGTGGTGGCGCTCTCCGGCGCGCACACCTTCGGGCGAGCCCACTGCGGCACCTTCTTCGACCGAATCAACCAAACGGACCCTCCCATCGACCCCTCCTTCGCCGACAGCCTCAGCGACACGTGTCCCAGCGCGGATTCCGACAACACCGCGGTGCTGGACGTGAGAAGCCCGAACGTGTTCGACAACTTGTACTACGTTAACCTCATGAACCGCCAGGGTCTCTTTACCTCGGACCAGGACCTCTTTAGTGACTCCAGGACCACGGGAATTGTGAGGTCCTTCGCCACCAATCAGAAACTCTTCTTCGACAAGTTTTCCGATGCGATTGTGAAGTTGAGTCAGTTGGATGTGTTGACGGGAAAACAAGGGCAGGTTCGCGCCAAATGCTCCATTCCCAACAACAAGAAGCTCGTCACCTCTGTTGTAGTGGAAGACGGGGTGGATTTCACTGCTAAACTCTGAAATTAATTAAGGAATTAACGTTAATTAATAAACTAATGGCCATACATAAAGGAGTTTCTCCCCGTCTTACTTACTGCATGCCATGCAACCCTTTCTGTGTTGTGTTTTTTCTTTCCTTTGTCACATGTTGTGTTTAACCGAGTTTGTAAACCATGGTTCTTGCTTGATATTTTGGTGTTTGATTTATGTTATTCACCGTGTTTGAGACTAAAACCTAACTTATGTGGAAACTAATTAAAACTTGGTTTTTTCATTTATGGAAAAGATTGTAAAATTAGCACGATTGTAGGGACTAAAATATTGATTAAACCTAAACCAATTTAATTTAACACGAAAAAAAAAACTGTATCAATAAATAAAAAACCAAACAAATAAAATGTCAAAATAAATTGAAAATCATAAAAACCATTTTTTTTTATTATGTTGGACTGGTTATAAAAGTCAATTAAAAAAGGGAGAAGAATAATAAAGAAAAAAAAAGTCACCTTTTTTGATTTACAAAAGAGGAGAGGAAAAATATAAATATTATTGCTATAATTTATAAATAGTAATAGAGTAAGTAAAATAAAATCTCCATAATATAATTTATAATTTATAAGTTATTAATCATTTTTTCTCATTTCACGTTTTCAAAATATATGAAAAATGAAACAAAAATTGGAAGAAATATATAAGGAATTGTTACTGTATTCTTATAGAAAGAGGGATTTCGGTAAATTCTATATGGATAGTAAAAAATCCAAAAGAAAAATCAAATTAGTTATAAAATGAATAATCTAGATTATATTTATATAATAAAAAGTAGGATAAAATTATAAATATTTCAATAATTTTATAAAAATATTAAAAGAAAAGAATTAACAAATAATAGAATTTCACTATAAAAATTCAAAAATTTAAGAGAGAAAAAAATATGCTTAAAAAATAAAACACGATATTTTGACTCTCGTTTCACTTTCCTAAATTTGAAAAAATCACTCTCCTCTAAAGTTTTTAGGTACATTTATTCTAGGCCAATGTCCAATTTGGGCACTTCCACCGTAGCTACCCACAACACAATTTTAAGGCCTTCGGATGATCAACAAACTGGGCCACTGCAAGGTCATTGTTGCAGGCTGGTCCAAAATGACTGAATAGGCATAGTTTTCTTCATTTTGTCATCAAATAATTGAAGGCGATTTAAATCCTTCCATGACACCACTCTACAAAGTGTGATCAAGAAATTAAATATCGGACTATTATCCGCGTCAATGGCTCCTTAGCTCTAGGATTCATGAATCAAACCAATAACAATTTTCCTGGTGATTGTTGATAGATTTATCAACTTACCTAATCATTTGTATATGTTTAGTCTTATAAATTTTATTTTTGAAGTGTTCAATTTTTAATATGAGTGAAATGTGTTAAATAACTCATGTCAATTAGAAATAAAACATAATAACGTATATATGTAAGGAGTGATATTTATCTTATAAATTAGTTTTATAAAATTAGAATTAATATTAATTTTATAATATCAACTTATAAAATGAGAATTGTTCATATTTATAAAATGTTATCATATAAGATGATGTTGTCTTACTGATGGAAGATCTCTTAACAATTGATAATTTTGAAATATTGTATATAATATGTTCATAGACAATAAAAACTAATTAATAATAATTAATTATTGGGAGTTGCAATCAATACAAAGTTTTATCTTATTTTTCTTTCTCTTTATAATAAGTTTCACAATTATTTTTCTTTCTCTTTATGGTATTAGACAAGTCTCTATCTTAACTATCTCTTTATGATTCACTGTGGCTTTGATTTATTTTCATTTATCTTACAATGTGGATTTATAGTTCAAACTCCATTGTACAAAATTAACATGTATGGTAAAAATTATTTCCTATTTATATACTCTTTATTAATTTAATCTTTAGTTGATATAAAATTTAAAATTTTCTCAATACACTTCCAAGTCTAACATTATTAAACTTCATACATAAATAAATAATAAATGATCAATTTTTTTATAATATATAAAATAAACTTTGATGCATCTTATATAATACAATTTTTTTTATATATAATTTAATCTTATAAAATTAACTTATAAGATAAATTAATATCACTTTTATATATCCACGTTATCATCAATGGATTTTGTATTAACTGCACTTCGCACCCGGGCTCCTAGCCCGGATTAGTGTTGCAAATAAGTAGTCCCGGGCACGCGGTGCATGACGTCAGCTCGGCATTTGAGCGAATCATACCTGATTCCGAGGATCTCGTCCCAGACCAGATCCGCCCTTCAATTATATCATATCATATCATGATATATCTTATCTCAAGCCCAAAAGCCCAAGGCAAACCTAGATCACCTTAAGGTACGTGCATTATATATATGAGACCATTACTCATGCAAACCCTAACTTTAGCATCGGAGTCTCTTTTGCAGGTACCTCCCCCATCTCGGAGCACCAATACACCCAGCAAAGGAGGCTCACCGATCTTACCCGGCGGATCAGCTCTACAACAGATTTCCGGTAAGAACAGATTTCAAACTTAAATGTTTCCCAAAAATTTCTACACAACATTTAAGTCGAACAGCATTTCCTGTTCCCGTCTCATAATAAAGTCAAGATTTTTTTAATAAATAAAGTCACAAACTTTCATTTACTAAGTCTAGTGTAGTTAACAATAATCAGTTAATCCTAGAAAAAAAATCTGCTTGGTATGGTATTCTTCAATTGACGGTTTTAATTATTACATGATTTTCATTGATCATTATTTATGCATGATTGTATCCAATCAAATTAAAACATGATGTTTTCTCAAATTTACAATTCTTAATTTATTTAAACTAAAATAGACGCTTTATTCTGACAGATTAATCTTTTTTTACATAAAAATAATATAAATTTTAACATATAAAAGGAATTTTATAGTTGAATTTTTAGTAAAATTATGCTGAATTTTTATATTTAATTATGTTAATAAATCAAATCATATGTAGTATGCGGAAAACTAAACTAATTAACAGTGTAACAGATAATGTTGAAGTTGCATCCAATGTCCTTATTGGCTATTGACTAAGAAGCCTTGTAACTTGTAAGACGACCCTAATAATGTTGGGCCGATTGTCACGTTAAGTTCCGTGACATGTGGTCTTACGTTAAGAAAAACGAACAACGTACGTGGATATGTTATGATTACATCTTTATTGTCTCCTAACAAATTAAGCTCAAATGACAGACAAAATGACTCGCTTCTTAATGGGGTTTGTTCAAAGATGAGAGATATAACCCTGATATGGGGTGAATGAATTGGCAGGAAAGGAGAAATAAAAATAAATATATAATAAATGATGTGATAACAATTGAATGAAAATACAAATATACTATTGATAATAAATAAATAACTATATTCATACCATATATTTTATAATAATTTTTTTTATCTTAATTTATCATATCATTTATCTTATTCCACAATTTTATTTCTTATTTTTATTTTGATAAAAGGGAAAACAGACCACGTACGTACATAATGTACAAGTGGGATGGATGTAGAAAAAGATATATAAAAGTCCAATATGCTTTTGTTAGCTCGGGCCTTCGAATGTTTGAAAAAACAAAAGGCTATTAAATCAAATTAAAGTTAAATATAAGTCTGTCAACTTACACGGATTGAACACGCCATTTGCAATTTGCAAGTACGGTGAAGATACTGAGCAAGGCATAAGTTTAGAGGAATCTATCCTAATCGTTATTTGATTCCATTTTTTGATCAGATTGTTCAAATGTTATTTTGATCCGGTTAAGGTTTTTGGTTTTTAAAACACAAGACAAGCTTATATTAATCTAACTCGTTGAGTAAAAAATATAAAATGTTTCATGATATATATAAAAGTTGAAAATTGTAATATATAATGAAAAGGGAGGCAATGTCTTTTTAATTTGGTACCTAAAGGTAAAAATGGTCTTATCAGTACAATGTTTCCGGGACATAGGTTGCTAGGAAATAATACTGAAGAAATTAAAGTAATTTGCATGAAAGAATGAAGTTTAAATTTTTTTATCAAAAAAAGAGTAAAATTTCCCGCATCACCATCTTAATTACAAGAAAAATTCTCGCATCATGCATCTTTGGTTACAAGACATTGACAAAATAAAGGGTTAGTAGCCATCAAAACTGAATTGAATTTATTCCACGTTCATGAAATTGAAATACAGGTGCCACGTTTGTTCTAACTTGTGTCAGAATAGCGTCGTTGTTAAAATTCAAAAAGGGCATATAAGGGAATTTTGAACATGTACGTTGCCGCCCACTTGCACTAAAAGCTAACCTAACCCTTGTACTCACCTCCTGACTTTCTGCTTATTTTGATTTTTGACACCAGTTTCTATCTATTCAATGACAATCACCAGTTTACATTGAATCCACCTCACAAAAATTTACAAAAATGTGTCGCCATAAATATTATAACATAATATGTGTAATTCGTATTCATCATTTTTAAATAAAATTCAACAAAATATATTAAATATCATTATATCTTAATTTTTTAACAATATATTAATATATATTATATCTATAAAAATTAGTTTTTAATAATAAATAATGTGTCATATGTTGTAACAATTTTTCTGTAATTCCGATAAATAATTTAATCTTATATTCTCTATTCATCCAATAATCTTAAATATCCCTTACCAACTTGCCATTTTCATTGTCTAATTTGTTTGCTGTAGAAACGTCCTTGAACCAACCACACGGCTGCTAAGAGTTCTGTAACAAAATAATATGCTAATTTGGCCGAGTCAATTTATATTAATATGCTAAACTACCAAAAATATTAATTATGAATATATTCACAGAGTGGTCCATTGTCATTCACTCCTTATCTTTAAATACTAGAGATAGCTGCTACATCAGAAGACATTACTTTTCCACACATGATCATGGCTTCTATTATTTTTGGTAGGAGTGCTTTCCTCACCTTTCTTCTCATCTGTACCTTTCTTTCTGTTTCCACCATTAAAGTGTGTGAGGCACAAGCCAAGCCTCCTACAGCGAAGGGGCTATCATATACCTTCTATGATAAAAGCTGTCCTAAGCTTGAATCTATCATCAGAAAAGAACTCAAAAAGATCTTCAAGAATGACATTGGTCAAGCTGCTGGCTTGCTTCGCCTTCACTTCCATGACTGCTTTGTTCAGGTAATTAATTAATCCATGGCCAAAGTTAAGCTGCATGTGTTCGGCCCTTCATTGTTTTCAGCATGTTACTCTACTAAATCTATAATGTTTTATTAACAGACAATCAGTACTAATTGTTCTAACCAAACTTGTCATATATATATATATATCCTTAATTAATTATAATTATAACTAACTTAGGTGTAATTGAAAGAAGGAGCAGTAGTAGTGAATATGCATACACATAGTATGATTTTAAATTTTTGATATATCAATCATTACGTACATAATTCATATATGTATATGGAATTTAATCTATCTCTTATCATTAGGCCTAATGAACATTAGCTATTTATTGAAAACATTTTATTTGCATAAATAGGAAATATGCATTGATAAGTGTGGTTAGTTATTAGCGTGATTAGATAAAAACAAATTGAAACATGCTGATGCAGGGTTGCGATGGGTCAGTTTTATTGGATGGATCAGCAAGTGGGCCAAGTGAGAAAGATGCACCACCCAACTTGACTTTGAGAGCTGAGGCCTTTAAAATCATCGAGGACCTTCGTAGTCTTCTGGAGAAGAGCTGTGGAAGAGTCGTCTCCTGTTCCGACATCACTGCCCTCGCCGCGCGTGATGCTGTTTTCCTCGTAAGTATCGATATTAATTTTATATATGTGAAGACGTTGAAGATCATAATAATATTGTATAAAAACAAGAGAATGATGACAATAATATGTACTGTTTATTATTGTCACAGTCAGGAGGACCAGAGTACGAGATTCCATTGGGAAGAAGAGATGGATTAACCTTTGCCACAAGAAACGATACACTGGCGAATCTTCCACCACCCTCAAGCAACGCCACTACGATCCTAGACTCGTTGGCTACAAAAAACCTAGACCCCACCGACGTGGTAGCCCTCTCAGGTGGGCACACCATAGGCATCAGCCACTGCAACTCCTTCTCCGACAGGCTATTCCCCACCCAGGACCCAGTTATGGACAAAACATTCGGGAAAAACCTAAGACTCACGTGCCCCACCAACACCACCGTCAACACCACTGTCTTGGACATTCGATCCCCCAACACCTTCGACAACAAGTACTACGTTGACCTCATGAACCGCCAGGGCCTCTTCAACTCCGACCAAGACTTGTACACTGATAAGAGGACCAAAGGCATTGTCACAAGCTTTGCCGTCAACCAGAGTCTGTTCTATGAGAAGTTTGTGTTTGCTATGCTCAAGATGGGTCAGCTTAGCGTGTTGACGGGAACACAAGGGGAGATTCGTGCCAATTGCTCCGTTAGGAACACCGATACCAAGTCCTTCTTGACCACTATCGTGGGTGATGTCGTGGAACAGATAATAGAAATGTAACCGGGTCGTATGTGTGTGTGCATATTCTGTGTGTTGTGGCCATGAATAATATTGGTAAACCCTTGCTTCTTGTTTAATTTCGAGGGTTTTCGGAAGGATGATAATTAAGGAATCATTGTCTAATGTTCCTAGCTAGACGTTGTACTTCACTAATAATGGAAGGAGCTTAATTACTGTCACAGTTTGGACTTTGGAAAAATTAAAAAGCTAGCTGCTTCTGCTTGTATTCTATATAAATTTTTGTTAAATATGTCAGTGTAAGTTTAAAATTATAAACGTGGTAAATTAAATAAGTTATAGTACTTGATCTGGCATGGACTTGTTGACTTGAATAGACGGCATCTTAATCAGGTTAGGAATCAGGATACCAATTTTTAAATTGTTCATTGCACTGTATATGTTGCATATTGCACTGTATATGCTGCACATTGCACAATATATTTTTTTACATAATTTCTTCAAAGCAGACTTTCTCCAAATATTAAGGGGTGTTTCATTTAGAACAGTTGATATGAGTTTATCGCAGTGTAGGCCATGACCTTTATATAGACTCTCTTAATTTAAACTTGTACGTACAAAAGCTCTTTTAACTTAATTTTTTTTAATTTATTTAAACTGAAGTTATTATCTCTTTTTAATGAATTCCAAATAAGTTTTACTGTAAATTAAATTTTGTTAAATAAATATGTAAAACAGCTTCATTTCTCATATATTAATTGTGGCAAGATTGAACATGTAAATGAACTCGATGAGCTTTATATAGTAATAGTAATTTAGATTTTGGGCAATTGATTAGATTTTGAATATATTAATAGTATGCTGCCACATTGTCAAATGTCAATATAAAAGTAACAGCAAAATACAAGATAGAGATCCGTTTGTTACGTGGAAAATGCTAAACTGTACGAATAGCTATAATACAGAATGAAACAAATTCTTTTAATTGGTTAATATTTTATATTTAACGACCCTTGACTTCTGGTGAAAATAAATAATTAATGGTCATTTTGTTTTTTAAAAAAATGACTCCTACTATTAGTATAATTCGTGTAGAGTTTCATTCGTAAAAAATAGCAATAGTGTATAGTGATGTCTGATAGTCCATAACTCTAGTGAGGACAATCACAACAGAATACTTGTGCATATTATTGCTGATTTCTTTTGGGCTGGTATTTAAATTTGTCCTCTACTTATTTCTTTTATTGGCCCAACTAACTAGCCTGAAACCAGTATATGGGTCTTGATATGAAAATAGTCACTATATTATTAGGTCAAAGAAGCTTTAAATCACACAAGCATTAGCTACCAAATAAAGAAACTAATTGATGACAATGGAGTTACAGTAAAATTTGAAAGTTTAAGAAGAGAAAAATTTCCAGAAACTTAGTGATATAATCCTCCCGTATGCTTCACTCTGTGTGTGATATTTATATTATCAAAAAGTAAAATAAAAAAGAAGAAGAAGAATGATATTTGCTGTATGGAGTTATGCATAAGTATGTACCAGTTCAGAATTAATTCCTGAAGTCAGTTGTCTCGTCTAACGGCTAAAAATTGGCCACGATAACATATAACGGAGAAAGTACGTACGTGTAATATATTAATAGGTCCTTAATTTTTTTAGAAAATTTAATTAGGTTCTTTAAGTTTTTTTTTAAAAAATGTTGCTGTAAAGTCTTTTATCTTCTAATTAATTTTACTGATTTCAAGAATTTAATTACAAAAAATTGTAAAAAATTAAGGATCAAATTAAAATTTTTTAGTTTAAAAATCTAATTAAAAGTTATCAACAATGGAGTTACAAATATATTAAACCTGTATTTTATTTTCAATAAGTTTGTTCTGATCTCAAATTTATTAGCATTATTTGTTATTATTATTGTATTTTAATATTATTTATTTTGATGTTTAATGCGCCTTAATTTATTGAAGAAAAATATTTATAAACTATTTTTATTTTAAACTCTTATATATATCAAAACAAACACTCAATCAAGATATTTTTTTTTTGTCAGGAAATTATATATATAAGAAAGAGGATAATGGATATAAGAGGTATCCAACCCTTACATATGGTCCTATAAGAACTAATGTAAAAAGAAATAAAGTGTTCGACTAGAGCCATAATTTCCTCTTCCCCACACATATAAATTCACCCTATATCACTACAAAAAGTATTATATACAATTACATATGTAACATTTATTATATTTTATTTTTTTAACAATATTTATCTACTTATATTTATTAAAATTTTACTATAAATTGAGTTAATAGGTTATTTTACAATATTTTTAAAATGTTATTCTATCTATAATGACATTTTTTTAATATTTTTTAATTATTTTTAAAATTAAAATCTCATACTGAATAAAAAAATGTCACACAAAGAATATACTTCTTCAATCTCTAATTATTTCTTAAATTAAAGTTTCATATCAAGTAAATGAATGACACGTAAAGAGTATATATAATCATAGAGTAATACTTAAGATAAATGAACTTTATTTAGTAATAACTAACTAAAGATGTCTTCAATCTTAAAGGACTAGTAGGAGACTAGGAGTCATAAAGTATAAGTGATAATATTATTAAAATGTTACAAGATTACTACTTTGATAAAATTCGAAAAATATTTCCTAATTATGTAAAAATACTATTTAAAGTTTTTAGTAACATCAAATATATATAACATTTGATAATATGTTGTAAAAGTAAATTAACAACATTTATATACAATTAGGTAACATTTTTCAAATGTTACCAAAATCTCTTTTTTGTTATATTATAAGTATATATCTATTTGACATATAATTATACACAATTTTAGTATTGATTTTGAATGAGATTCAACAATATATATAGTATGTTATTATAATTTATGCATAGAATTTTAACAATATATCAACATATATTATATCTATAGTATAGATAAAAGTAATTTTTAGTAATAAATATCATATCACTATATAAAATGTGTTACTAAAAAATAGTTTTCTTATAATACATTAAAAAAAACCAAATTATACAAAAAAAAACCTATTAATCAACATAAGAAATCAGAATCAAAGAATAAGGCATTGCATATATGTAGGTATATACCTATTTAACAACATATTTTGTCACTATAAGTATAATATATGTAGGTATATACCTATTTGACATATAGTTACATACAATTTTAATGTTGATTTTGAATGAGATTTAACAACATATTTTGTGTGTCACTATAGTCTATACCTACACTTTTTAATAATATACCAACATATATTATATTTATTATGTGCGTAAAAGTAATTTTTAGTGACACGTATTGTGTCACTATAAAGTGTGTCACTATATGACAGTTTTCTTATAGTAACAACAACCTAATATACTCCGATCAAATTTAAGAAGTAAGAGTGACATTAATTCACCAGACACCAATGTCACCAATATCCCGTAATTCTAACTATAGTAGCAGATTTGACATCAGAAAAAAAAAATTGTTCATAACTTCAATGAGTGAAGCTTTAAACTCTCATCTAATGAATCTAATATAATTGTATAAGTACTTGCTAATATATATAAAATACTCCGGTCCTAATTAGTTTAATTAATTTGATTTGATATACAACCACCTGAAACATGTTGTAAATAGCTGATGAAGAACCGTAGGTAATAGAGTAAATTAAGCATTTCACAATTAGGTACAAGGTAATCAATGCGATTGGCCTCCATGTTTGGATGAGTCCAAAATGGTATGAAAGCAGCAATTATCTTGATTGGGAATTAACAAAAGGAAATTGATTGAAAAAGAGGAGAGGGAAAGATGCAAAGCATATAGAAACAAATAAGGGTGGGTCTTTAATGATACTGTAGGGATACCAGGGGACTAGGAGACATCCCTAAATGTACGGCTTCTAGTCATGTACTCATCCTAATTTATAACTTATCCATGTCAACCACTTATTCACCATTCACCAAATTAAATGTTATATGCACCGTTCTTACGTGATAATGTTTGTTTTTGAAATTTAGTTAAGTTCAAATCCAAATTTAATCTCTGAAATAATTGGTCATGTTTGTCAATTTGGTCCTAACATGCATGACCAAATCAACAAATTTAATCTTTGAATTTTATAATTATGACAAACTAATTTATGAACATATGAGAAACATGCATCAGTAAGTTAGTCCCGCCACGTTGAGGTTATAATTAAATGACGCTCACCTAAACATGCATGTTTTTTTAAGAAAGATTTCATCACACTTCACATTCACACAAATAAGATATATATATATATGCTCAAATAACTTTGCAATGTTCACAAGCATATTCAGTATGATCACATACTGTTATTTTAATACATAGTTTCCCCCTTATGTAATGATCATAACAGTATAAAGAAAAATAAAAAGGGAAAAAGAAGGCACACTAGTGTCAAACATGATTGCATTTTGCAGAATATTTACTCCACTCTATATGAAGAACAGTTTGTGTCATGTGAAGTCTTTATCTGCATGTCTGGGACTAAAAGGGGAAAGTCTAGCTGAATTTAACCTATATAAAATGAATAATTGCAAATGATTAATGGATCAGAATAGGTAATAGAGTAATGAAATGTGGATCAATCATTGTTATAACGGGCATGAGTCATTATTTGAGGGATTTATGTTAAAGAAAACACAAGTACTGCATGCTGAAATTTCAAGGGATGCTTGGTATCATACATATATATATATATAACAGCATTATGAAGCTGGCTTTATTTGCTGTAATGTTTAGATGAGAGGACGCACTACTCACTCAACTTTAGTCAATGCAAAACTGGATTAATTATTAGTTGCATGTTAATTTGCTTTCAGCATGAAAAATATTCGTACTTCGGAGGAGTGTTCTATTGTCTTGACTTGGATCCATGGTCCACATTAATAATTGCCATCGCCAGTAGATTATACAATTTCAACAGTAAATAAAATAACACTAAGCTTTAACGTAATCCACATCTACACGTCCTCTATAACTTTAAATAAAAATAAGGCTTAGTTAAAATTTTGTGATATATATATCCTTCATAATTTTTTTTTTATCGATAATCTTTTCTGTTGTTTACCTTTTTTAAATTTTTTATATACCTTTTCTTCTCTTTAATTAGACGAGGAATCAAAGAAAATTCATGTTTACAAGGATTAAATATGTCATTCATAATATTTAAAGAATATAAGAACAGAAATTACAAGATTATTTGATAGAAGAAATTTCGGGAGGACATATTTGAAAAGAAAAAAGAGTTTAAAATAGAAAAAGAGAAAATCGTGAATTTTTATTAACAAAAAGTTAACTAAGTTTAAGAGTTAAGAATAATATGGAAAATTTTAACACAGATGGGTTTACGAATTTTAAGTGTCATGTTATTCAGTGTTTTTTTTTTTTTTTTTCTATCTCACCCAGCCATGATTTTGTTACCCATCATGCCATGAATTAATAGTTTCCATGATACAAACCAATGAGTGTTACGTCTAAGCATGTCAATTTAACCCGCTCCCGTGGGTACCTGCCCGAACTCGCCCCGATTTAGATGAGAAAACTCGTGTTTATTGGGTTCGGGTTCGGGTTCGGGTTTTTCCCGATTGATAAAATCGGGAGTGGGGGCGGGGGCGGGGATGTTAATACCCACCCC